TGTCGCTCACCTGTGCGGCTCCGCCTCAAGCTGTGGTCTAGAAAACCCTTCCATCCCACCATGCTGGGCCCTGGCACCTCGCACGCAGCACGCACTTGCTCGCCCACAGGCGAAAAATACACAGGGGGCAGGGAAAGAAGGGGAGGACGATGGAAAGGACCACGCACATGGCCAGCTCAGAGCCAGTCCGTTAAAATCCGCACCCTCAGGCCACTGTTTTCCAGCTTGTGTTTTTAAAGTTAGGCAGCTGTAAACCACTCGTCGTCAGAGAAAACTGTCCCAGCTTTTGGACGTCATTAGGAATCGCCAAAGTCTGTGTGACTGTCAAGTGCTCAGCACTTGCAGTTATCCCCATTTTAAAAATATACAGACTTTAAAGGTGCCTGAAGTTTGAAGCCCAAATCTTAAAATTCAGACTCCAATCTGTAATTGCTCCCATTTTAATCACAACTGCTCAATGCACCCTTTCTTGGTGGACAATCACCTGATACTTGAACATGATTTTCTTGCACACAGATCTCCACTGTGTTGATGCCAAGTAACCTCCGGATACAAATCACCACTAGGACAGCTTTAGTCGTGATGGATGCTGAGCTAGTTCATCAATTTTATGTGGGTTTTTCAGCTTTGTGATAAAACACTCCTGTTTTAGGCTTAAAAAGTTGTGCAAAATTATACTTCTCTTTTTTCACGCATTTTTAGCAAAACTTGCACTTAGAAGAATAAAGTGAGATTGTTCCAGACATTCTCTTATTATAAGAAATAAAGACCAGACCCTAAACAAGTGTCCTGAAGTCAAATTAGTAAGCTCAGCCATAGCTAAGTGATATAGAACAGTCTAAATATCCACCCTTGTCAACAGGAGGGCAACCAAGTTACGCTCCCAACACTCTGCAGATACTAAAAATATCAGGGACAGGCACAGCGTTATTTATCTCGGTCAAAATACTTTAAGCCAAGCCCAGGCAAATGTCTGGAAGTTCCAGCAAAACTGTCACATAACACAAAAACATCTGCAGCGTTCAGCTTCTGACGTGCTCAGTAACTAGGCAAGACGGGACCAGGCCCATTGCACACATGATCTGGGCTTCAGAGGGCCGATCACACTCCTTGGGAGGTCATTAAGACACTTCTGTGTAGCGTTAGAAATGTAAAGACAGCTTCAAGATGGTTTAAAATGTTTTGACTTAGCAGGTGTGTTTAAAATGTTTTGACTTGGCAGGTGCAGTTAGATGCAGCAAGTGCATCATACTGAAGTTCTGCGTTTTCTGATCAGCAACTGGACAGGACCCTCTGGTACAGATTTAATAACGTTCCAGGCATCGTAATGCATGAGGCCAAGTAACGATTTTCCACTGATGGCGAGAATTTCATCCCCAGTTTCTATTTTTCCAGCTTGTTCTGCAGCACCGCCTAGGAGTAAAAGGGGAATAAAGTCAAAGTAAAAAAAAAATCTATAAAAGTGCCTTTTCCAGTATGACGAATAGCAACAGAAGCAATTTCAACACTAGTCACTTATGCTTTGCACTGGCAACTCGCACTGAAGGTGCTGCACCTTGCACTGAAGGTTACTTAGATCAAGATAAAGTTGAATCACTACTCTCAGACAAAAGTTGTGTTTTTGAAGAAATATGCCTGAGAGCATAAAAGATGATTCATACATATATATGTATTTACAGACACACACACATATATATGTGATATATGTGTATGTATGTATATGTTTATGCAGGCTGTGTGCAACACAGACACTTTTTCATCAAAGAGACTTTGTGTGCCACAGGTGGATATGAACACCGAGGGCTGCTGAGCCTGGCTAGCGGGGAGAGCCAGAGCAAGCCCGGGCAGCAACCCTCAGACAAACCCCCCGACACACAAACGCCTCCTAATGAGAGGGGCACCCATCGCTGCTGCTCCAGGCACATTTCTGTAAGAGTAATTTATCCAAGTTAGCAATCACGGGCAGACAGATGGTGTGGGGGGAAAGTGTAACCAAGGCCATAAATTAATCATCTCAAAAATTAAACATGACCTTCACCCTCAGAATTGCTTCTGGAAGAAGAGAAAACACACGCACGCACACCCCTCCCTGCCCCGACACACAAAGCAGAACTCAAGAAGCAGCAGTTTGACCCTTTCCCTTTTAGGAGGAAACAGGAAACCGAAATCTGCTCCTGTGAATCCTGTGAGCACACTGAGCACCAATAGCTTCCCCTAGAAGCAAGGTAGGAAGGTTCTTTTCACTAAACTGCACCCCCACCTAAACAGGATTGCATAATGGTTTCAGTATTAGTTTCCTTTCCATACTCAGTTAGTTCATTCACGTTCAACCACAGAGCATCCAAGAGCGGCAGTTTTTGAACATGCACGTCACATATTCTTGGTGAGAGCTAATAGTTGTAACTAACAAGAAACTTGACAGAGACAGAAAAAATGGGAAAAATAGTAATTAGGTAAAATGTAGGATGGTGCTTTGAAAACATGTTCTTTATCAGCATTATGCTTTTCACAAGACAGGAGCTTCTCAAACTGGGACACGTGATGCTGCTGAAATTCGGTTATCTACAGCAGCAAACAATTCCAGGAAGGAACTGAATCTTATCTCGTAAATCAGATTTCTCTAGGTAATGCATACTAGCACAGGCAGACCCCAACCAGTCCCCGGAGTATTTTTGTAATGATCATTTGACTAATAAGTAATAATAAATTGTAGAGACAAAGAAAATTGCCTCCGTCTGAACAATGTCCCACAAAAAAGTGGGATAACACCTATTACCTATGTGTTTCTAGTACCTTTAAATATTCTTTTTACAAGCAAGGGCCTGTCTCCAGCAATTGAAGCTTTCCCACCATCAAGACTGAATCCCAAGCCCGCAGAGGTTTTCAATAATTCAACACAGATGACATCGTTCATATCCAGGTTTGGATCTGCAATAGAATACACACAGCATCTCATTATTCAGTTAACAGTAAGTTGTATGTTGTGCTAACTGTTTTTTGATTCTTTTTCCTGCTGTAACAAAGCCATCGAGTTTAGTTCATGCTCAGACTTGAACACACTGTCACTTGGTTTCTCCTAGAAGCAAATGCAGCTGCAAGGGGGAGATGGTGAAAAATGTAACTGTGCACAGACACATTCAGATTTTCCATGTTAACAGAAACATGACAAGGTGTTTTTTTCCGGGCAACATAAAGGCTGGACTTGCCAGAATGATTCAAAAAACACAGGAAGCGGAGAACATCTCATTTTCTTTGATCTGATACCACCTGCTCATCGCATGAGCCACATATTTTTAAACAGCAGTAGTGAATCAGACGTTACATTAAACAAACATATTCCAGCCTCTAGGGGGGAAAGTGCAATGACTGACTAGCACAAGCAATTGTTTCTGGGATCAAATCTATGGATGTAGCTAGAATTTCCAGCAGGTGCACACTGCCTCCTCGGTATCAGTACTAGATGCTTGCAGAATGCTATACCGCTATAGCTAATATAGGTCATGATTTTACTCAGGAGAATATAAATCCATAATTCTGGGGAAAAAAAAAAAGGATCCTCTTTGTCCTGAATGAATATAAAACTTACACAGTTGTATTAGCACAAAGTATTGCTAGCGTTATCTTAAATTTCCAAAGCCAAACTTTGCCTGGCACATGGACACACAGGCTTAAGAAATCCCTCTTCTACTCTATGCTGTTTATGAGATAATGTTGCCCTCTAGTGTCCACAGCCAAGAGATATTTGGCATTTGCCAACTCACGGGGCATGTGCAGACTTGCCCTGTAACAGGGATTCTGCAGTAGTTAACATATATTAAACCCATGAGAAAGATGACAGAAAGGCAGGTCCGTTCATTTACAGAGCACTCCAAATTACCTCCTAGCTGCACTGCAGTGCTGTACTGTCAAACCCAGTTAAAAGCATAAGATGATGAAAAAAGGTCTACAGCAAGAGCTTTAAGAGGGGTGGGTGGCAGCGCATGGCACTAGCTCCCTGGGCAATGAGCCCCAGGCTGATCCCCCTTGGGGGGGAACCAGGACTGAACCCAGGCACACAAACCTCTCAAAGCAGCACAGGACACTCAGACACTGGCTGAGGGCTACGTGTCTTGGCCCTATGAAATACAGCAGATCCACACTCCCAAGGCAGCCTTTGTTCTGAAATGTTGCCTTGTGCCCAAGCGCGAACTTACTCATGATTTTACTGATAGCCAATCAAATCATTAATTCCTACTTTCCTACAGGACGGCTGCCTTGGATTTGATTTAGTTCCACTTATTGCAACACCAAAGTAGCTTTTGCTACATTTTTACTAGAAACACTATAAAATAGTATAAAAAGAGCAAGTTCAGTCCCTACAAATAATAAATGATAATAAATTGCAGGCCTTTTTTTTTTTTTTTTCCTTTTTTGATTTCTTGTTTTTCTTGCATTGATTACTGTTTTTGCTTTACAGGGCTTTATCTTGGCCTTAAAAAGTATGTGGAGAGTCAACCACTAACTTCAGCAGAAACTGGATTAGGCCCTAAACTTCCTTCTAAGTCTCTGCTTATTTATGGTCCTTAAAAAAAAAAAAGAAAAAAAAAAAAACAGGCTGGATTTGGGCTCCAAAGGGTACAAATAAAAGTTACAGGTATTTTCAGGTCCTCCCTTCAGCTGCATAAGACACAGACACTTCTAATCTAAAACACATGGACTTTTTCGCCTTAGTCTGTTTGGCAAGGGATTCCTTCCAGCTGTTCTTGGACAAAGATCATACCTGTTCCTATTTCCATGGCAACATCCTTTCCAGACCCCACACATTTTCTGCCAGTAGCTGATATCTCCGGTCTGGAAAAGTTGTTTGCTTTGTCCTTTTCCTTCTGGATGACGATGATGGCGTGTCTGTGCAGCCTCGCCTGATGCAGCGCATTCAGCACATCCCCGTGCACAGAGCTTGCCAGAGACTTGCCGTTGATGGACAGAACGAGATCTCCTCGATGAATAGTCCCTTCCTGAGATGCCACTCCCTTTGAAAACACCCTGTGGACCTACAAGAAAAGATGTTAACTAAAGGGCGCTTCAATCCACTGGCTTGCACCTCTAAGCCAAAGGCAACCAAGGAGAGCTACAGAAGGTGTCATCACAAACCACTTGCACAATTTCAGGAAATTCTGTAAAGGTCTTCAGCTAAAATACCTCCCATAACATATATTCACACCACAGCAGACCCATCAAAGACAACACTGCACTGTGTGACACCCTCTCTCCAAATTCCCATTGATTGGGATGTGCCCATGATGTTTTCAGGTACACACAGCTAAGCTGTGCACAGCATCAGTGCACAGAAAGTCTCTGATGTATCAAAGCTATACATTAGAACAAGTATCTGATTGTTTGTCCCAGTTTGGCTGGTAAAAAGGCACATATATAGATGCAAAAAAAAATCATGTCTTGAAATGAATATTTTAGGGGAGGAAAAAATAGGGAGAGGGATTAAACATCAAGTAAACTCCATTGGGTGCAAATGAGATTTATATGGGTGTCATTTACACCCATAAGTCCTAGGCGTGCTGGACAAAGGCTTGAGGTAGCAAATCTGCACGCCCACTTTGGTGTGGCATTATCTCTACCTATGGCACCACCAACAGGGACTCAGGAGTCTTTGGTTCCTGCTCCCTCTGACTCCAGCGATGTGCTGGGGTGGAGCCCGCTCCCTATACTGGAACCAATGGTGGATTAATGTTAAACACAGGAATATGCTTAAGAATAAAAGCCAGAACACTCCTGTAGTGGCTCCTGCAGTCCCCAAATACTGAGGACATTCCCTTTTCCTAATCTCTGCACCTAATGGTTATAGATATCTCTTTCTGGGTAGAATCTAAGAGCATATCCTGTGTAAAGATACTGCCACATGGGACACCGATTATCTTCAATTTCTCTGCCTCATTGATCCCTTTCTGGATAGTATTTCAATTCCCTGGTATCACTTTCTACTGACCAAATCACTTCATAGCAGACATAATGTTGTTGAGAAAGCTATTAAGGCTTTTCTGAACTCATTTACTGAAATTCATCAGTTTTTAGTAGCAGCAATAAAAATATGTGAAGCGAAATCCAGAGTGTGATCTGGAGATGTGAAACAGTCACTCTCAGGATTTGCAAAAACCTTCCAAAACTTTGCTGCACCAAATTCACTCTCAAGGGCTACAAATTAAACTCTCCCCTAAAAGGCTGCATCCACTACAGCTGTACACAGAATTTTATTTACATCCTTGAAACTTAGTCCCAGCTGATCCCATCCAGTAACAGACAAGTTACCCTTTCAAAGCTTGAAAACATAAATGACATCCATCTCCTATAATAAAAATGACACTATCCAGACACTTTCCCTCTGATTTCAGTAGCAGATGGTATGCAGCCGCCTCCGAGACACTGTTTTATGACTGCAAATGACTTTGCAGCGAGTCTCGATAAATGAGCACTTGATCTAATCACCAGCATGCTTTAAAGTGAGCTTTGCAGAAAAACGACTCGCAGTCATCACTTACTGTGACTGATTTCTGTTCCAGATCTATTCCTCCAGCAACGCTAAACCCCAGGCCAGCTCCCTCTTCCTTGTGCAGGACTACAAAGTAGGTGTCTTCTTTGCTCTAGCAGAAAACACAGGAGTGAGAGGGAGGGGGAAGGAGGGAAGAACAAAGCAAAGATCAAGACCGAGTTCCCACAGATGACAAATTCCCAGCACTCTCAGGCTACGGCAAGTGAAGAAGGCAACTCATAGATTTAAAACTCTGGGATGTTAAATACATTTCTGTTCACGTTACAGACACATGAAGCCGCACTATGGGAGGACTTGGATGGCAGCAGGGATTTCTTCATGCCTAGAAAGCAAAGTAAAAATTAGGACAGGTACTATGCCTGGGGCAGCTTCACTTACAAAGGCTTTAATAAACTTTTCATTGCCAGATGTTTTGCAATCAAAATTGAATACTTACCCAAACACATGGCAGACTGCTTGAGGAGGTAATTCAGGGGAGCGAGGCCTGTGTTATGGGGGGCAAATAGGCTTGTCATGGGGCATCCCAAGTCCCAGGGGTGGGAAAGCAGCAGAAAGCCCCACTTCTCCCTCATCCTCCCAAGGCAGCCCTCCTTGCTCTGGGGAAAACAATGCCCTACTTGCTGCTCCAGGATGAATTCCTCACACCAAGGCATACCAACCCCATGAGACATCCCAGAGCTTCTCACAGATCTCATTTCTTTGTGCCACTTGCTTCAGGGACACTGTACATCCCTGCTGCCACCTTTCACACCAAGCACTGAACTCCACATGGAATTACTGACACTTGCGTTATCTCCTTTCTCTTCTGCCCTTACAAAGACAACAGGATCAAGCTTTTCCCATAAGCACCAGACAACCTTACAAAGGTGCAAAGTTGACTTGTTTGAAGTGATGGGCTGCTGCCAACATACAGAATTTGCTATGAGAGGAGCAGTTCTGTCCAGCAACTCTGGTGCCGCCTTCTGAACAGTGACAGGGGCAAAACCAGACACTGCTACAGATGCCACTTTTTGCAGCCTAAGTGGGACTGACAGCAGTCACGTGGTGGAACAAGGGCATAGCAACCAAATGTGTGGCAGAGCATGAGAAGCTGGGAGCAGAAAGCCGGGCTTGGCTTTTCCTTGGGATCCCATCCAACATCAATCATTTCCAGAAACTGCCAACACTGAAATTAATGACACATCACAAGGAATGAACCTTTTAACCTATTTATCATTAAATGACATATTTAGTTCACTAAACTTGACACATTTAACTCACGGTTTGCCTGTTTCATTTCAAAATGCACGAGAGCCATGGATTACTATTATTCCTCGGTATTGCTGCCAGATTCCTGGCCTCCCTGAGCATGTTTTTGCCAAGCAGTGGCCCCAGAGGATATTCCTGTATATCCCTGTGCAGCACAGAGCCCATGTCAGAAATCATTGCCACTCTGCTCCAAACCACTGATGCACCAGTGTCTGGGGACAGGAGGGCAGTCAGAGTTGACCGTCTTAGATCGCAGCCATTTGTAGCTGTCAAGACCTTTCTACCTGTACTGAAGTGACAACAACCTTATGTTAGGTTAGAAATAGTAAATTTAAATAAATATCTGTGCTAGACTCCTCCAACCATGTGTGCTAAGCATGACAGTCATTCTAGCTAAGGAGGTCATTTTCTTCCCAACAATTTCACCCTCTTGATATCAGGACATAATTTGCTTAGAGTGGTAAACAATTCATTAGAGGCCTCTGGTCTTGGAGGGCTACACGAGGATCATGTATACAGGGCCAGTCACCAACACAATCCAAACATCCAAACATTGGCTTCCTACTCCTAGGACAAATATTTCCTGACTTCCCAGCTGCCAAAGTCTGTCCTCACCAACCATGTGTAATATGGGTCACAGGCGCCAGCCTAGGCATACTTACTGCTTTAATCAGTCACATCGTGGAAGTACAAGGCCTACAGTAATCCCAACCATCTGCTGGGCTCTGCGAGGAATCAGGACACGCAACTGCCTAACATCTCTGTGAGGCAGGTTAGTACAGATTAACTCCTTGAAGTGCACAGCAAGCTACTCCGCTAAAATCTCTATCTAAGCAACCTGTCCAGAGTTACAGACGAAATGAACAACATAACAGGGAAGTACTCAAATCACCTGCATCTCTGTTTTGCCTGTCAGCCAAAGATCATCAATCACAGAGGTCTAATCAATAAAAAGTATTTTATTTTTTATATTACTAGCACTTATTGAATACTAGCCATAAATTCAGCAGTGGTCATATCAAAAGATGATGACGGACTCTTCCCAGGGGAAGCTCTCAATCTGAATCAAGCACAGATTTCCATCTCATTTTTCAGCAATTGCATAATTCTGAAGAACTGTCCTATTGTAGGTTGAAATCCAGCCTGTGACTAACATAAAGTTTTCCGGTGTATGTGCCATATTGGGCTTAAATGTGGATACAGAAACTATGTGGACACGAAGTGCATTCCAAAAAGCATTCATTTTTTATAAGTATCTGAATTCTTAGGTTTGAGAAATTGGCATCGATAAATAATCTCTCCAAGATCCCATGCAAAATACTTTAAAGAACACTTAATAACTTTTGGCAAGGAATAAAACCCAGTCCTAAAATTTTGGGTGAAATTACCCAAGCATTTGGCTCACCAAGCTCTTGAGACTTGCAAGGTTTAGCGAGGAAGGAGGCAAAGCTGGCTAGTCTGGGGAGCTCCTACTCCCCTCAGCCCATTTTACATCTGAACTTGCAGTCTTTGTGATCGAGGCTCAGGAACACTCTGAATGCAGCTCACCCAGCAGTTATAGAGACCAGGTGGCAGGTTCTCTTCCAGTGCCATCATTATTATACCAACTTCGGATTTAAAAAGAATATGGATACATCCCAAATACACAAACACAAGCAGGGCTGAGAGGAAAAAAGGAGCAATCATTTCACTGGGAGGCCTTCTTTAAACACCTAGCTATTGAAACAGGCTGCCTTGGCAGGTGGGTAATTTCTTCCTAGCAGAAGAGCAAGAGACAGAGCAAAAAGAGCACAGGGGTCTCTTCCAAGTCCCCCAGGGGAGCTTCCTGACACTGCCAGCCACCAGCTCAACAGCAGGGTGGAAAGTTAGGATCTGATGAGCAGTGACTCAGCAATTCAAGAGTTTCTTAGCTGTAATGATGACTGAAATGGAGATATACTTGTCCGTTTGAAATTGGTCTCTTTATCATGGCTTATAAAAACTTTGGCACTGGACAAACACTATTTTTTTTTGTATAAAAAAGCCATTCAAATACACCATGGGTTTATGACAGGTGCTGCAGAAACATCAGAAGAAAAACCCTCTCTCAAGGGAACATACGAGGAATTCTGAAATTGTCTTGTGAAGATTTTATCTGTCATAAAAAAAGTAAAATTATTGGTCATAATTGTCCACTGTTTCATCTTCTGGCTATTACCTTTACTTGTGCTTTGACTTCTTGAAGCATCGTGGCAACATCACATTTTGGTATTAGCGACGACAAAATGGATTGCAATTTTTGCTGGTCCAGGCTTGAGACCAGCAGCTGATCCAAGCTAAAATAAATATAAAAAACATAAATGATGGCTTTATATTTCTAGACTGTGCAGAGATACCTTTCAATTACACAGTATAATTTGCATTAGAACAAGCCATGGAGTGCCAGGTCATTAGCAAGCATAAATCTTAAAAATGGGTAACAAATGGTGTATATTGGGGTAGGGGAATGAGAAGGAGAACAAAAAGACAATTCAGAAGTAATCCTCAAAAACAGTCCCTGTTCTGTTACCCTCTCCCTTCCCAATGGTTTTAGCAAGAGACATTGGCAACAACAAAGCAAGATCGACTTTTGAGAACTGTTTCTAGCAGGATAAACTCATCTGTCATTGCAGGCTACACTGACAGCACATGCTGGGCAATCGCTCCCATTGAGGTAGGCAGGAGACAGTATTTGCTATTGCTACATAACCAAAAACCAGACCACAAACAATACAGAGGGACACAGGAAAAGGGCTTGACCCTGCCGGCATAACATACTTCACCCCACACTGGAGTACAGCCACCACCAGACAACAGCTTTGAAAGACAAAGAGCACTAAAAGCTACATCCAATTTTTTAGTTAAATAGGAACTTGGGTCAATGCTTTTCCACTGAAATGTGTTTTGGAACAAGGCCTAAGCAACTGGAAAGTTTTGCCTCAGAAGACCCTTGCAGGGATGTAGAAGAAAGACTTCAGAAGAGCTCTTTTGCTAATGGAAACAGTAACAGAAAGATCTTAGACTAACCTGACTGACCAGCTTTTTTCTGAACACTTCCCATCCGGAGAGCTGTCACACGTGGCATCATCCTCTGACGCTGACCCCGGTGTCCCCGAGCTACTGTTCCAAGGACTGCTCCCTTTCGAGCTCGCTCTGGTCCTGCTCGTGAGGTTGGAGAGGGCAGAGGACGTGCTCGGGTGTGCATCGCTCTCTGCGGGCAGCCTGAGCGACCTCCTGGGCGTGATTTCCAGTTCTGTTCTGAAATATCCAGCCTGCGGGTCCCCGGAGAAGCCCTCGCTGCACAGCTTGTCCAGCTCGGGCATGCTGAGGGCTCTCAGCTCCCGCAGTTTGGAGCGGGACAGCAGCTGCCGGCCGTGAGCCCGGCTCCGGCGGACCTGCGACACTGAGGGAGGGGAGGTGGACAGCTCTCCCAAGGCGCTTTCCTTCCCTGATTTACCTTCCCCTTTGCTGCCCTCGGTTGAGTTCCTTGCTGTGCGTGACAAGTCTACGCTCGCAGATGATGTCATTGGCTGTGACGACACTGCTGGAGCTCTGTCCTGGCTCAGGCCGCTGCCGTAGGAGCTCAAGCTTCGTCTCAGCACCCGCGAGGCCTCAGTTGGGCTGGTTACAACTGCGGCTCCTATCCCGCTGCATGACCTTCTGCTGAGAGGTGTCTTAGAGGCTGAGTGAATATCTATAGCTTTTACAACAGGCCTATCAAAATTTGCCAGATTTTCAAAGGATTTGATTCGCTGTTTCACTGAGAAGGATGAGGTAGGTTCATGTGGCCAATTCAGTTCATAATAGTAGTAATTTCTCCTGAAATTTCTTAGCTTATCAGTGGCAGGATGACTAATGTCACTGGCTAAGGGGGAGTCCCCAGGCACCTTTTGGGTGTTTTTGGAAGGATATGCCTGCTCCTTCCCATTTGGGCCATTCAGAAGATTGAGATGGGCCATCTTTAACAGTCCCGTCTCTGAATGGGGGGATTTCTCATCTGCACCATGGTTCTGAGGGCCTTGCACAGCATGAGGTGAAATATCTGCCGCATTGCAACCCTCTTGGAAGTGACCTGATAACTGGGCTGGCATTGAGTAAGTCCTCGTCACAGGTTTCGACAAGCTATAGAGATTTCTATCTCCAGAGACATCCACTTTAGAAAAATACTGTGTGGACTTTGTCTCCTCAGTCAATTGAAGCACTTCTATGTTCTCCTCTTCTGTTTTCTCCATCAATGGCAGCTGCAGAAATGGTGCTGGTGAGGAAGAAGCAGAGGAGGAAGAGGAGGAAGATGAGGAAGATGAGGACAGTCTCACCTCAATGAAAGTGCGTTGAATCTCCTGTCCTTCCAGCTGCTCCTGCTGGACTGGGGAAGGCCTCAATGAAAAGGAGTTTCCAGCAGATGTTCCTAAGTTCTGCAGATCTAATTGCTTAAGGTCATCATTACTGACGCTCTTGATTGAGTTTAGGCCTGTTCCGGGGTTCTCAGTTCTCCCTCTGACATATTCAACTTTTGGAATCCCCTTGGGGAATGAAGCAGCTTTGGGCTGATTATCCCTGGCTCTGAAATCTTCTGTCTTAGGGGCTTTGTCCTGACAGAGCTTGGGCTGCGTGGAAGTTTGCTTTTCCTTTTCCCATGCCTGCTGCTGATCCGCTAGCTCCCCATAGCCACCACATTTAATTTCACTGCTCTCTACTGGGCTACTGGTGCCATTCAAGAGGGGCAGAAGTGATTCTTCAGAAATGACCAACGATGGCTTATTCTCTAGTTCTGATCTCAGAGTCCTTGAGACTGCTGAAACACCCTTGCCAGGATCTGTGTTTGTAGGTAAGTTGCGGGATGACGGTGCTTTCTTTCCCAGGAGCTTGGGGGACAGTTGCGGGGAAACAGAAGGCCTTTTCTGATCAGCCCCATTGACTTTGGTAGCATTCATCCCACAGGAGTCTGAATTTGTCTTTGTTTTGCTTTTGATAGTGAACCCCTTCAGCTTTGGTCCTGCTTTGGCCTTCTGGTTATTTAAAAGGGTTTCCATTATAGTTTTTTGTGCTGTTTGTGCCTTAGACTCCTGACAGGATTTTTTCTGTGAGGATGGGCTGTGTGGTACTGCAGCTCCTTTGCAGTGATTTGTGCCTGAGTTTTGGGCTTTTGCATTTGAACTCCTCCCTGAAGTCACAGAATTAATTTTCTCATTTTTCCCTGGCAAATCATTGTTTACACTAGCCTTTGGATCTTTAGATCTAGTGGGAAAGGGAGACCTGAGTGATATTGCTCTTTGTGATGATGTGATGCCATGATTGCTCTCTGTTTTAGACAAATTGGATGAAATGTTATTTTCTTTCTTTGTTAAGCAATAACTAATGGTGTGATTGCAGTCATCAACTACTGTTTCACTTTCAAATTTGGATTTATGCTCCTCATAATATCTTTCCTTCTCCAATGAGTTGCTCTCCAGGCCATTGACACTTCCAGCAGAGCAAAAATTTATATTTTTGCAGTGTGGAGACCCTTCCTCTTCAAGGGATTCACAGCATTTCATTTGTTCGCCACTGCTTCCCAAGCCCATCTGTTCTTCTGCACTTAAGGCACAATTGTTATGCAAAGAGTAAACTTCAGGGTTACTTCCTGAATTTTTTAGGGTGTCTTTACCTGGCAGGTAAACTGAGGAAGGAGAACAGAGGGATACCGAGGAGACATCAAAACACCGTGAGGGACATGGGGTGGAACCACTCCGATCTTCCAGCTTTAGTTTGTTAATGCTTGTCTCCAGTGACCTGCACATCACACAGTCCTCAGGCTGTGAAACTTTGCTGTTGTGAGGCTCTGGAGGGGACAGAGGGGATAAGTTTGTTGCAGATGGGAGATGCTGCTCCTGAGCAGGCTTTTGCAGCTCATTATTTGTGCAACAAATCTCGATTTGTTCCTCATCTGATTCTGTTACAGCACAACCCGCTGGGCCATTAGCAGCAGCACAAGGCAGGAGCAACACGTCACTAGCAGTATCCAAGGCTTCCGTGACAGACTCTGTGTCTGAGTGAGAATCCTCTGCGGCCCCGTACATAGACTTGGGAAATGGGTCACTTCTCTTACCTTCCAGGGAGTTTGCTGCAGGCAACTCCTCCTCACTTCGACTGCTGAAATTCCTAGAATAGTTATTTAAAGAGTTTTTATTCACAGTAAAAAGTTTGCCTGGGTTAATGGAGTCCAATGCAGCCAGCCCCAGAACCCCTTGTGCATTAGCTGCACAATTCATATTTTTTTCCAGCTGCTCCTCCTTCGCTGGCTGTGGCTCGTTGCCGGGACAGCCTTCGTCAGTCCCGCAGCAGCACAGCGTGGTGTACTCCTCTCGGAAGGGACTTTCTGCTCGCGACGGGGTCCGCGAACCTCTGCCCTCTGGGGTGCTCATCTGGCCGAGCAGGTCATCGATATTGGTGACGGGGATGGCGGCACTGTCCTCGGCGCGGCTGCTTTGCACGTCTTTGCTCCTGGCGTGAGGTGGCAGTGTTGGTCTCTCCGCAGCGCAGCCTGGACCATCGCTCCGCAGACTGACTCCTTCCTGCTTCCCACAGCTCTTCTCTTCTGTCACAAAGAGGTTGTTGGAATCAGTGTGATTTTGACCATCTAGCCCTAGAATCGGGATAAAGTTTGAAAATCTGCTGACAGCTGCATCAAGATTAAAAAAAAAAAAAGGGGATATAAAATCCTATCAGATACGGAAAGTGATATACAAAACACCAGGTTTTATTACAAAAACAGACACCCACATACTCCGCCTTGATGTTTTCCTTTTGCCCTGCACTCCTCCTCTTCTGTAATTATGTTTACAACAACTCCAATTAATCATAACCCTGTGTATTTGAGTGGCACACAGGAGGAGAAATCTATTTTGGTTAGGTTGTCACAATCTGTTTAACTCTCATCTTTGGAATTTAAACAGCCAAGCAGCCAGCTAGCAGTAAAGTCAGGCTAGGCAGTATCATTCCCCATTACTTTTTTGATCAAAGATGCCTGCACAGAGGACTCAAAGCCCTGGCAGAGCAACCAAAGGTGAGCAGATAGGACAGTGATGAGCTGGGCTCGACTGATCCTCTAGGCACTTCTGCAGATGTTTAATGTGACACACATAGGTGATGTAATGCCTGTGTAAGGGCTGTGCATTAAGCACCAGGGCTTTACAGGATTTCTGGCACAGAGCTTTCCTCACTCCTAGTACATGTTTAACCCAGTCCTAGGCAACCTACTGATCTCCCTGTCACCGCTGCCCTCAAACACATTCCAACTCACTCTTTTTTCCAGCATCTTTTTTTGATTCCCACCAGTTCACCCCAAACATCTGCTTGCACCTTTCTACACCACTTCTGGGACACTCAACCCAGCTAGCCCCTGAAATACTGCCTTGCTTCGGCAGGCTGAATCACATGTTGGAGACCTCATCTCTGTCATGGCAAAGGGAGAGCAGGAAAGGTGCCCGGCAAAGCACTATCAACCTTAGTGCTAGAAGGCTGCAAAAGCCACAGAAATCTAAGGAAATGGGAACAGGAATTCTTTAAAGAACAACTGGAATTGATGCATCTGGAAGCAATCTTGGCTCCCAGGTATTAATAGGTACACAAAGAAGGCCATAAGCTAGAAGGAAGCAAAATATTATGTTCTTTCTGAATTTGAAAAGTGTGCTCTCTTTTTCAAACACTCATTTCACACCACATAATTTGTGCAGTCTGTGGATACAAATAATATTGCTGTAGCAGCAAAGATCAACCTCAGCGAGAAACGAAACAGACATCCATGTTTCAATTTAAACTAGATTTCTTTTTAAATATATGAAACACGAAAACATTTTGATAAGATTCCAGTTCTTTTCTCAGATTTTCTGCTTCTCCTTTTTGCACATTAGACAATTTTGACTCAGTAAAGGGAAAGAAAAAGAAGTATTTTATTATCTATTGTACATTCATAAAAACACCACTTAGGCTTCAGCTTTTAAAGGAGACGGATGTGATTTTAAAGAGGTAAAACATTTACTTAACAAGAACAGCAAGAGAACCGGGAGTCAGACCTGTGCACATGCTGGCAGCAGGGATGTACTATAAATGGGAGCTTTGGGCACGTAACACAGGATTAGGCTTCCATCCCTCACCGTGGTGTGAGGGCTGGGAAGCCTGAGGCCTGGTTCAGCGATGAGGCACTCGGCCTGACTCGCCAACCCAGACACTCAAAGTAAATGGTATGAAAGCAACTTCCTCTCACCTGGGGCTTTTTTTTGGATCTCCAGGGTTACAGATGTGGGAAGACACTGCATGAGCAAGCAGATTTCCTCATAAGTCATCTTATTGACGGGGATACTGTTGATAGTGGTAATCTCGTCTCCCACAACCATCTTGCCCATTGATCCCTGGTGTAATGACAAATACAAGGAAACTGTGAGTACATCTCAGAAACATTCCCACAGGAGCAAAGAGTTTAGGGAAGTGATTAATGGTGTAGGAGTGACATCCCCTACTTCACATCACTGTAGAGCACAGGTAATATTTCTGGGTTTGCCAACACATAAGTAAAGAGATGACTGTGCTCTGACAGGAGAGAAATTCATTATCTAACTCAAACTGGGAGGGCAAAAGACACGCTGGGTTTCCAGAGAGAACGATGCGGGGATGGAGAACATAGTTTCCTTCATTTAAAGGAATTTGGCTGGATTAGACATAGTTTCTTTGGAATTCCTTGTAGGAACACCACCTACCATTTTTGCATTTCACATATGAACCATAATCTTCATCGTTATCTCCTACTGGACCGACTGGACTCTCACAAATGGCTATAAAACTGACAGGAATAGAACTCTTGAGGCACAAAGCTAAATCTATTTCTCAACATCACAGATTAAATCAGAGGAAGGGGCAAAACCAGCACCTACCACCCTAACTCTCACAGCCGTATCCAAGCTGTCCCCTCTGCGCCCCTCTAAGTGTGGCACAAATCCTGCACCCATCTTTGTGCACCAGAATATCCGGAACGTGCACAGTGGGGTCAAGGTCAGCAATCCCGCATCCAGCACGAGGCAAGTATCCTCACTGCAACGTGCAGTGTGGGAGGGGCAGAGGTGCAATATCCTCCTGGCACCCAGGCAAACCTTGCCCACTGCTGGGTCTCCTGGCAGGAGGTTCGCAGAACACAGGAATATGCGCAGATGAAATAACGAATCAAGATTTAAAGCACACGCATTCTATGTTGTAACATAGCTTGTCTCCTAATGAGCATTTTTCGCCTTTTTTTTACACGTTTTTTCTTATCTGTTTCTAGTAAAAAGGCAGAAAAGTGCAGCACCCCCCTAAACTGTAACTCTTAACGTGTATGAATCTACACTAGTATATTAGCTTCTGACTTCTTAGTTTTCAATCAGAAAGGGTGCACTTCTGAATGGAAAACTCTTCCTCTGGCAGCAGTTTTAGAATGACTCGGGGTGAGACATTGCTCTGGAGGAGACAAACTCCGCTGAGCAGCGGAATCTCCTTTGCACTTAGTCTTACAGATCACCTGCTTAGCAATAATAATCCCTGTAAGCCAACAGCAAAGCGAGACAAACGGAGCAGCTCCAAAGTTACCCTTTCAGCTGCTCCGCCCGGCCGCAGCCCTGTGACAACCACCTTCAAGGGCATGGCTTGGATTTCCAGATCCAGGCCGAAAGACTCATGCTCATTGCGAACCAGGGTGACTGTTTCACCCTGGACCTGCCCAGCGCTGTCAGGCGCCTCAGTCTTCTTGCTGTGAGGCAGTGTCCTTGCAACCGGTTTGCTGTAGGAGCCATGCTCCTCCATCTTCTGCCTCTGAAGGCTTCGACACTCAGTGCTCATCATGCTCTTCACTCTTGTGACAGCTCGGTGTTCCAGTTTTGGAGATCTCTTGGATTCGAGCTGTGCTTCCCGGAGCTCCCTCAAAGTCAGGCTGCCAAAACGAACTTCGGGCACACTTGAGTAATCGAACGCAATGATCGGGAAGAAAGGAGAGTCTCCTTGCTCTGCTGCGCTGTCGGCAGTCCCCACGGAGTGACTGTAGTGGGGGGAGGATGTCTCCCTGCCAATATATCTCTGTGATTCACCATCCTGGCCATCATCATTGATTTCTACGGATGAGGTTGTAATGACAAGGCCAGCGTCCTCCTGACTTTTGGCCCTCTGGCTTCTTTGCAAGTGGGCGCCTTCGTCGTCATCGCTAACGTCACCGTCGTAGAAAACGACCCTTCGCTGCCGATGGAAGGGGCTGCGGGCAGACTTGGGGCTATCACTGAGGATGCCGGGCCGGACACACTCCCCGTGCTTGTTGTGAAGGCTGGGCGACCTCCCGTTGCCCGGAGAAGCCAGTCCATTTGGTCTTGCCACTCCTGCTTCTCTGGCAGCTAGGAAAAGAAAAGCATTGCATCTTAATTGTATTTATTTGTGATTTTTAATACCATGCATCCCACCGTGGCCGAGGACATGTGGTTTTGTTTGCAGAAGCAGCCTTACCTCCCCCTGTGAAGCAAAGCCAAAAGCAGGTTTTTCATGTCCTCCCTCTATGTTATAACTACAGTACAGAGCAAAAGAGATGACAGATGGCTCCACAATTTATGGATTCTTCCTGAAATCAGCTCACAGCACATCTGGTTTTCTTTTCAGCCCATTTCTAAATTATGACTATGACCCAAAGAAGAAAGGGATGCACGTACACATGTGTATATTACTTTAAACAACTGAACTTCTTTCAAATCTTTAAATCCATGCACAGGACTATCTGAGTTGACGCAGAGTGAATAAGAAATGCTCTCACAAACAAAAACTCAAGTACACAATAACTGGTTTCAAATTAAAGGCTAATTAGTCTAAGAACCCTTTTCACAGCCTTCGTAAAAAAGACTGCAGATTATTTTCTAGAAAGTTTTTTAAATAAAAATGCTTTTCAGAATCAAATAATGAGTTTACAGAAAAAAACAGGTGGTAGGCAAAGACATTAGTTGAGAAACACAGAAAAGGGAGAACAAATATAACATCCTTTAATCTGAAATCAAGTGCCTGTTGATAAGGAAAATATAAGATTCATTCAGTCAAGTGCTATAGAGAGGAAGACACACATGCAAAATATCTGAGCTCAACTCAGATTTGGTTGTTTTTACACGGCTACATGTGGCATTGTGAAATTGTGTATTTGAGGCTGCTAAGAATATTTGCACTTAAATATAACCAAGCAGATGACCACCAGCTATCTACGAGAGCCTATAATGTTGCCAATTTAGTTACAGCCAGAGCAACCAAAAAAGGTCATACTCATGTAATCAGAGCAGCAATTTGGACAAACTGCCACAGAAACAGGCCTTTACAGGCCAGTGCCTGGGCCTGTTGTCAACGCTTCCCATTTTCCCAAACTTCATATGAGCAGCTTTGGTCTGCACCATGCGGGCAGATCTGGTCCTACCAGCAACGGAATCATGGGGTCTTTTTGATAGAGCAACGCAGAGCTCGGTGTCCACCCCCACCCCAGAGGAATTAAGTGGCCAGCCAGATTTCCATTGCTCTCTCTGGTTACCGGGAGGGAGGGAGCTGTCGTCCAACAAACTGTTCCTGTTCTTCTGGCGGCGCTGTTCTCCGTCGCAGGAGCTGGCAACAGCCTCGGGGAAGGGCAGCTGGCTCGGGCTGTCGTGTGAGAAGTACTGGGAAAGTTCTGCCTCCGAACTGACGGATCCCTGCTGAAAGTAAGCATGACCGGTGACGTCTGTGCGACCCCGCTATCTGCTCACGGGCACTAATAGCCCTACTCACATCACCCTGGTCAAAGAACTAAGTTTAACAACAATTTTAAAAGTAGAGGAATTGATGGCGTACTGAGTGCCAAAGTGTAAAAAGCAAATTGCTGAAATGCAGCAAATTGTTAAAATGCAGCATATGAATACTTTTTTAGATAACAGAATACTACTTTTTCCCAAATTCCCCTACAAGCAAGGGATGAAAGCATTCACTTCCATAATTGTCTTTGCATATCTTATTCCCTGAGAGAAGGTTTTCTACTTCTGGACACACCTCATACAGCTTCTTTGGCTTTCGCAGTAAAACAGAGATGTTTCGCCCATAATGGCTCTGGACAGAGACCAAACCCTCAACCTGCCTTCAGGGCTTGGTCTCTTCTGCCACTTTTTGTCTCTGATGTCACCTTCTGCCTCAATTCTGCCCTGCCTCGGGATTCAAATGTGAAGCTTAAGAATCAAACCCCTTTATGAAGCACCCGTAACAGGGAGGCAGCACAGAGTTTTGGTTTTGAATCAAGTTTAGTCCTCGGCTAAGAGCTGAATTTGAAGCAGAGTTGTTTCTAGTGCATTTAAATCTTTTACCCGGCTTGATGGCTCCAGGAAGCGTTTCATAGTCCAGCTGAGGGCAGATGAGGCGTCTCCTTGCTTGGCTTTTGCACTAGACGAGGGGCTTTTCTGTGCAGCTCCTGTTAAACAGTGCATTTAGAGGCCAGAAGTTATAGCAATGGTCCACATATCCAAACAAGCTCCTTATTCACTATTTGAGCTGGGGGCTGTGCTTATTACTGCCTATTATCTGAATTGCTAAGACAAAGTGAGATTTATTTTACATGTTACAACCTCTTCCTCAGATCAGGCAAAATGTTATCTCAGAAACCCATTGCATCAGCCAAGCACAGGACACAGCTACAAATAGGAGGCAAGCTGAAGAGTCTCCCTCACCCACTGGACCACATTACTGATGAGGTACAAATGCAGAAGACAAATTAGTGGCTAAGGGCAAGGTACACTGCATAAAAATCCTAGCTGTCACTGATGTATAAAGGATAATTACAAATCTAACATCATAAAATCCTAAAAATCACCTCACAGGTCATTCTGTCATTACAAAGAATCGCTTTGATCTGTAAGATTTCAGGAAATGCTAAGGCTGAGATTTGAAATTATCAAGCGTATGCCAGAATAGAGCATTTTGAGATGCCCTCCATGATTGAGGTGGAATTAAAACATACAGTCCAGTATGTCACAGCTGGACTTATTCAAATGGATACCCCAGTACTTTTGTTTTCTTGGTCATTTATAAGGGGAAATGTACATGATGGATGCAGTTGACTCCTCCTGCCCTTTTCTTAGCAGGACGTTCTCCTTCAAAGAAATCCCAAAGAGAAGACAGAGCAACCTCCTCTGCCCACTTTTCAGATCATGGTAGTCTGCCTAGAGAAATCCAAAGCAAATCATCTGAGCTACAGGGCTGATCCATGTGAAACAGAATGCTTGTGCCGAAAGTTTTACAGCAAGCAGAGCAATCACATCTACGAAACTTCTCAATTTGAGGATCCTTATACTAATATAATACTGACACTGAGAAACCCACAAACAGGTCCTTAAACCTTTCCACATCTGGAAATGGACAAATACTAGGAGAGAACCCATTATTACCTGTGGCATGAGAGGAGCTGGTATCCTTGCTCTCTCGATGAGTAGTACGTGCTATTGCTTCATCCATTTCCTGCTCAGAAACCTGAGGTTTAGGAGAAGACAAGAGATCAGTACTGGGTAGTAGAAGAGGAGAGTCTTATCACTACAAGTATCTGACTCATTTCAGACACGCCCGTAAACCTCAGCAAAGAGGAACTAGTCCTCTTCGGGACTGGTGTCCCTACTTGTGCAGGGGGGGTGGACTAGAGGGTTTCTAGTCCAAATAGATGATCTCTAGAGGTCCCTTCCAAACTTAAGCATTCTATGATTCTGTGATAGTTGAGTGCTCCTAAGTTCTGGCCTGTGACTCAGACCCACTCCGTGCTGTTCCTCTGCAGAAACCGGGAAGCAGAAACCAGCTAAATTCACATAGACATCATCCAAGTGCCACATTACGTAAACAAATAAAACCACACCAGGCTTGAAGAAATCAAATGAAGCCATTACGGCACACTTTTAACTCGATTAAACACTGTACATTGATTTATTGCAAAATATTACATTAAAATAGATAAAGGCTGCTTTGTACAAGCCTACGTCAGCAACAGAAGACTTTCAGCACTTAAAGGACCTACCGGAAGGAAGCCAGACTTCCTGAGATATTAGCTGCCTTTTTAATTTTCATTTCTCCTCGCTTAAGCAAACTAAATCAGCAGTCTATAGTTAATGCTTTCTCCGAGTTAAGAATAAATATTGGTCTACAATACTTGCAATTTGTTAATTACGTCCTGAATTACTGCAATGCCCTTACTTAATCCTTACTACTAGAAAACTCCACACAATTTCAGAAGAGAAACATCCAGTCTGCAGGAGTGTGTATTTAAAAACAAAAAGCAAGGTAATTCTGTCTAAAGTAATTTCAATATACATTGCTTTACATTAATTAAAATTCAGTATAGAGAGATGAGAAACCTGAATCTTTCTGCACCATGCAGATTTGAAAGATTCCTAAGCAAACTCAGCAGTTTCAGCATACTTTAAACGTCACATTCACTCAGAGTAACAAGAAGAAAGAAAATTTTGTGGTATTTCTCTTGGAAGCACATGAAAATACCTAATTGAATATATTCAGCACCAGAACGTACCGTGGACCTTTTGTGTCATGAAATGGGAGATTAAGTATAAAAATGTCTAAAACGACACAGAAATCTGTAGAAACCTCTCTCTGCTTTCCGCTTGTGGCATGACCTTACAGGAAACACCACGGCTCCCGGCTTCTGGGGCACTCCACGTCTCCTCCAAGGACTGGAATCAAGCACATTCTGCAGTGTGTGCTCCAGGACCTCCGCACCAGCCTCGGTGCACATGTTGTCCTGAGCACCAAATGAGGCACGGGGCAGACAGCAGCATGATCGTGAGGATGGAGGTGCAGCCCATTCCTCCCCCACATTTTGGTGGTCTCCCCATCCAAATCCTGCCCCCTATATATGATTTACCAGGGCAAGCAACTACATTGGCTATAAACCCAACTCTTACCCCTTCCATGCTCAGGCCTTCAACCAACAGAGCCAGGGCCTCTTTTTTTTTTGCATCACAAAACTTTGTAGCAATGACAGCAAAGTCCGGGCAGCAGGCAACAATTTGCCTAATGTTGTATATTTGACTTAGCATAAAATACATAATTAATTATAAAATAAACGCACATCTAGAACTCTGGTTTCTTCTAAAGGCCTCTATTTGTAGTCAGGAGTTCAAAAGTCAGAGCTCTCTGGACTCCCAAATGCAAATATTTTTACAGCTTTATTCCTTTTTAAACAGGAAGGCTTTGTACATGCATGAAATTCTTTGAAATATTGAAATAAAAGAAGTTATTATTCCCTACAGATTGGTTAAATGGGTTTGATCTTCTATCACCATTAAAAAAATACTTGAAAATAATCAACTCACTTTGTAAACACAGGCTTATTTCTTATTTTTAAATTGCCCTTGTATGGATTTCTCAGTAGCAATACATTCCAGATTTTACTTTTTTAAAAACAATATTCGTACTACTTTACTGCAGTTGATCAGTTCAATCTGTTGATGTTTGTATCTGGCCCAAATTATATTCTGCCGAAACACAGACTAACTACAACACAGATTTAAGGGGGAAGAGGCCATACGCAGTATTTGCATTGCCGCTTGGCCCGAGCATGAAGAATGATGGGAACACTTCACCCAAGCAGTTCCAGGAAAAATGCATTTGGTCATCGAGTTACTAAATGAAAAGCAACAAGGAAGCTATAACATTGCTACAACTGGTAAACTGGAAAGCATCACTGCAATCCTTGAGCCTGACTTTTTGTGTCGTAGAGAGAAAACTCTAAAATTCTTCACTTGCTGCTTTTCGGACAGCAAGTTGCAGACTATGAGATGAGATGAAAGCCCCAGACAGGTACCAGAACATGATTCCTCCTCACCTTCGGGTTAGGATGCCGACTAATGATCAGGCTGACGGGTCCCGGGCCACACTCGCTCAGGATGGCATAGGCTTCGCTCAGCGCCGCGTGCCGCAGACTCACCGAGTCCGCCTCCAGGATCTGATCCCCTCGGCTGCAGACAGAGACAGAGCCAGTCAACCACACACACTGCCTTATCCAGAAACACTCGTGCTCTTGACTGCTAGCCAAGTTTCTTCAAGGATACACATATCTGGAGAGGATCTGGCTTGCAAAGTCACCAGTGGTGCTCTTGCTCCCAGTGTCAGGGACAGTTTGAGGCCTGTTGAACTGAAGGAGAGAGGTCCAGGGTTCCTTTCTGCACTTACTGTCAGTGCTACAAACCCTAGTAAGTCAACAGGAAAATATGGCTGCGTTCGGACAAGGGTGAAAGTAAACTTCAATTCCAGTTCTGTATCCTGATACTTGTTGAGCACAGGAAAAGAGAAAAAAGACTTGGATGGGCTGTTCCTTGCCATTATGCTGAACAACTTAACGCAGACACTAATAAGAAGTTCACGATTTAGATATGAATTTACAAAACGACTCTAGAAAAAACATTGGGTGAGATAAGCTTCCATTTACTTCAGATTAAAGTACAGAACACATTTAGAGAAAAAAAAACTCATCTGAGAGGGAAGGATAAATTGTTTTGCTTTATTTTTCCAATTTTTTAAGTCTTGATCATTGGTTCCAGACATCTGGAACTATTCAAAAGAAAAGATTATCAAACAGGGATATCATTAAAGCATTCCCTGTAATTACTAAGACATTTACTTTAAAAAGACATTTTCAAACAATCCACTGATGCTGATTTATGCTGGATTAGCTCTGACAATGCAAATGAAATCAAAATAAGTCCTCACGCCAAAGGCAAAATGGCAATTACACGTGGCAGCGTTTCAGCTGCCATATTCTCGTACAGGCAGATACCAAAGGGTGATGAACTGCTGTGCACCCATGGCACTGCTTTGCCCATCCTTCCTATTAGAAACTACGAAAACGGAATCACTTAGACAAGCATAGGATTGAAAGGGGGAGCCCAGATACAGAGGAGCTGGGTTCAAACCTTCCTGGTTTCACAAAGCTTGTATCTGATTAATAAGCCTTTCCAAATCAAAACCATTCTCTTCGTTTTGGCCTACCAAACCATAAACTACTGGTGAGACAACAGGAGCAATGTCTCAAAGAAGCAAGCTAGAAAACTGGGAAGCATGCCTGGATATAATCAATCATTTAACCTAATAAACGACACAGCTGTTATATACAGCCAGCAATGCAAGCTCTTCCAAAAGAGCCTACAAGAAAGCAAGTCGGTATTAAAGTACTGTCTCCTCCGGACGTTCCTGTTTGGTAGCAACTTAGAAGAGTTTGGGCAGGGACACAGCCATAAAATCAGCTTGTTCCCCTGTCCAAAACTCACCTTGCCCTATTGCAGTTTCCCTAGCAATTGAGGGCCATTGCACGAACAGGGGATGGAGAGCTCTGCCTCTCTGCCAGTGAGCGCATGGGAAGGGAGGCTGGTGCAGGGCCCCAGCTCGAGGCGGATCCCATGGCTTCGCTGCCCTGAATGCAGCCCTCCTCTCTCCAAGCCTCCCCAAGCATTTATGCAGGGATGCAGAAAAGTGGAAGGTCTTGGAGAATTTCCTCCAGGGGGTTTTAAAAAATGAGGACATCAGGAAAGGAACAGAAAATAACTCTCTGTCACTTAACGCAGTGTAAAGCACAAGGGAATCCTGGTAGCACTTCCTCTTTCTCTTACAATTCCTTACAGCCATTGCAGGTTCCCAGCGGAGTGCACAGGACGGACAGGCTGACCTGCCATGCTTCTTGCAGACAGGCAGGGCAGGAAAGTTCTGCTGCAGCCACGGGCACAGTGTACTGGAAGAAAATGCCCCCACCTCTTTTTAAGAGTTTCAGCTTTTAAGAGAGCTCTGCAAACATCCTGCCAATCTGGGGTCTCTGGCTGCAGCTCTGATAAAAATTGATGAAGTTGCATTTCTGTCTATCCCCGCTTCTTGAAGGGTGCTATTAGGCTCAATTTTCTATGTAGAGAACAACAACAAAAAATCTTAATGATCATGCTGCTTCCAAGACACAGAGGAATGTCTTTTTGGTATTAAATGCCACTTAGGGATGTCTTTATTTAAATATTTTATTTCTAGTGAACACTTATAGTCCCTTCCTTGCTACACCAACTGATTGGTGAAAACAAAATCTCAATCCATTTTACTGTAAAACTACTCCAGCGCGATTTTGCTTTAACTAACCTTAATCTGCCATCCATTTTAGCCACTGATCCTGGGGCCAAGCTGTGAATGTATATCCCTGGAGAACTATTTTCCAGTGTGAGACAACAGGCGCCAATGCCTAGCCCAACCCCTGGCTCTGTGAAAAACAAAAAGTACAGAGAAAAGTACTGTTGAGTCCCTGCAGATTGTAATCACACCGGACACACACGTGTTTGTGTTCCCACATCACATCTGACACCAAGAATCACATATTGTTTCAGTGCTGGCCTCAGGTGCAGGCATGCAGGAAGTCAAGACCCAGAGTGGCAATCAGAATTGAAAATATCTGATCTTGACTCTTTTCTGAGGTCCGTCGTTGAGAGGACTAATTCTACTCATGGCAAATTTTCAGAGTACCTCGGGAGCTGCTTGGAACTAGAAATGTCACAGAAGGCTTAATCAGGACTGAGATACAAAGGAATAGGAGAGAAATAAAATAAAGATGTTGTTTTTAAAATTATTTCAGAAAACGTGAGAAGACACCATCTTTTACATTCTATTTTGTTAAATTCACTTGGCATCCTTCAGCAATGAGATCTGAAGAAAGGTAATGTCATCTGTGGTTTAATCATTTCCCCTGTGCATTTTCGCTTCTGCCTTCCTGAAAGGCAGGGTACCCAAAATAGGAATTACTGGATTTCTGATCTTTTTTGTTAAAATTTCTAGTCCACCTTTTGAAGTCATCAGTCAAATCTTTAAGATACATACAGCCATCCCACTACATATAGTGCACACTCCAAGGTTAGCCATGACGACTATTACTGTTAATGAGAGAAGCCCTCATGAAGGAGTTCAGATAGCTCCTCCTGAATGCCCTGTGTGGGTTAGCTGCCTTCAGGGCTGCCCTTTACCGGCAGGACATGAGTCATTTAGGCTGTAGAGAGGCTAAGTCATATTTGCACTGGCACCTTGCAGCCAGCCCTTTCAGCAGCATGGACTCTGCTGTGAATAAGGAGGAGCTTCCTCCTGACTCTGGAAGCAGCAAAACATAAAAGGGGGACCTCTTCAAAGGGCTTTGCATTACAGTGTTTTTTTTTTTTTTTTTTTTGCACGATCCTGTGGTTCACTGAGTGCTCTCCAAGACCAAAACGACATGGATAAGTAAGTGCCCTGGGCATCACAACCAATAGCATATTCTCAGAAACTCCCTTAACAGCTGCATTCTCAGAGGGCAGTTCAATGAACCTTCACCTTTGTTCAGCGTCACATCCATGACGACCCGATCCTTGGGGCCAGGGCCTTTGCGACTGCAGGAGGAGCCGTCTGTGTCGTCGGAGCCGGGGACAGGGGTGCCTCCGCTGGCGCTGGAGCTAGGAGAGCTGGAGCGGCTCAGCAAGGTGGGAGTCACACAGGGCGTGAGACTGGGGCTGCGCAGCCTCGTGCGCACAGTGAGGGTCACCACTCCTTTCTTGAGTTGCTAGAGAGATGTTAGAAAAATCACACAATCAGGCAATGCCAGGCGCCAACATTACCAGTAAAATAAATTGTAACAGCAAAAGAACAAAACTGAAGGTGCTGAATGGCACTGAATGGAGCATGGATGTTTCTCTCACTGCATCTGTGGTTGTTACCTTAAACCTCTGAATGGCTTCCTGGTGGGTCAGCCCTTGCAAAGATTCTCCATTAACTTCTAGTATTTCATCCCCTGGAAATCAGATACAAAAATGAACTCAGCAATATACGAAGTATAGAGATGTAGCAAAACTTCTCATAAATAAAGCAACCTGCTACCAAATGGACTCTAATTTACTGCTCAATAAAAAGCCTTTTACTATTTTCAGTTTATTTTTACTTGTCCTAATCCCTTTACAACTTAATAGAGTGATGCATAGATGCATAATAGATAGTAGAGTAAAGCCTGTTCTTCTACAGGGATCCCGAGCGCTCTTATAATAACAAATTGGAAACACTCCAGATTTTAACTGCAGCCTGAAATAGAGATGGTCATAACATAAGGTCCAAGGGGACCCACATAACTCCCTTTCTTTGGTGAGCATCAACAACAGAAATACAGATTAAAGTGAGACACCACGGAACATCAAAAAACAAACCTGCTCCACTTACTGAGCATGTGCAGCAGGAAAATCAACTGGCCTGCAGGCTGCAATAGCTCTCCTCACCCTACTGAAAAAGCCACAAGACCATCACATGTCTGCCCACCTGTTTCAGGCTTCCAGGCTCTGGGTCTTGCCACTTACACTCAGCTGTGTTGATCTATCTTAGTGTTTTATTAAAAGGAGGAGAAATTGAGCAGGATCCAGATCTGCTTTCTGCAGTTTTATATATGCTTACATCTGTGCACAATTAGATAGAGCAATGTCATCAGCCAAGTCTTCCCCTCCTCTCCTTACTTAGTCCCAGTGGAAAAAAAAAAAAAAGAATATGTGAGCTCTGAATATCCTAATATTCTGTGAGGACTTGGTGGGTTTGTGGGACAGCTGCTACTTGTTGGCTTCCCACGACAGCGCACAACCTATGCTCAAGGGACCCTGCCTCTCTCTGGCAGGAAGTTTGTGAGTTGACACCAAAACCAGCCTCAAATGCAAAAAACATGATGAGATGTAAAGAGGGAAATGATGATATGAGAAGGAGAGAAGTAACACAGGAGCAGCTTATTGTGAAAGAGAAGTAACCCAGCTCCTGCAGAAGAGCTGTAAATCACTCCTCTGCATTCATGACCACTTTGAACTTTTAAGCATGTAAGAGTCTGCCCGGCATAGGAGCACTCAGATCAGTGTCCCAGCATACACAGAGGAGCCAATATATCCAGCTCAGAGTTAAAGACCAGAAAAGCAGCATAAATAAATAAAAAAATCAGGCTATACCTGCTTCTTTAAACAGCTGTGTTATCTTATGACAATTCTATCCTTCCCCTTTGCTTTGTCTGGTTGTGACCTTTACTTGTTTTACACGTCTAAATCATCCTGCAAACCTCTAAGACAGGCTGCAAAGAGGCTCAGAGATCACAGAGGTCCAGACGAGGCTCTTCCAAGCACGTCCTTCTGCATAACCCCTTCCTGGACAAGCATTTCTAGGCCAGATGCTGGCTGGACACAAATGTTTCACTGCTACCAGTGTCCCACCCTAACTGAAGAAGTGGAACTTAGGGCTTGGTCAAATAAAGTTCACTGAAGGTAAAAAAGCTTCATGCTGTACCTTTCCCTTCTGAAAATGCAGCACAATCAAGTTGACTGCTATGATCAGCCTTCCCCAGGACAGACTATCAGGGTGTGTTATATCCTCCACAGTCTCCTGGAGAGAGCCAGGTGCCTAACTAAAGCAGTACTCGATTTCTTCTGCTGGACTGAAACAGTATTCTACTGGGGTCCTTCATATGCAGTTGACTTCTCTCTACTATACCTTCTTTAAGTCTCCCATCCGCAGCAGCTGCTCCACTGGGGAATATAGTCTTCACAAAAATCCCCATGCGTCCGCGAGCAGAATCCTGACCTCCCACAATGCTGAAACCAAGTCCCTGCAGAAAAAGAGAAAGAGATGACAACTTATTCCATTATCACCTGTCTGAGAAAGACTGTCTGGTAACGTACCAGGAAAAAAGAAAGAGGAAAATGTAATAGCTTCCTGGGAACCACACTGAAATCTCATCTGCTGATTGCATCTCCTGATTTACTTCCCCTCCACAGCCTAAAAAGTAGCAGGAGGCATGTTAAACTAAAATGAGGCAACGAGTGATATCTTAAGTTGTTTTTGCAGAGCATTGGATCAGTGATTTTATCTTGTTCAAATACACTTTTAAAAACTATTATGTGTTGTCCCTAAATTGACAGACAGTGGATTCCCATCCCTGAGATCTATATCCAGGATTAACTCTGCTGTCATAGACCCTGCATTTCCTCAGGAAAAAGAAAAGCTTAAGAACATGACATAAGGTCAGTGCTGTAATGTCAGGAATGTAGCTATAAGGGCTGATGTGGTGGGGGTTGACATGCACGTGTACATTTTTAATTATTTTGGAGACATGTACCACGTTGTATTTAAATCAATCTTGATCATTGTATTCCCCAGGGCTCCATCTGTTAGTTCTTGTCCATGTACTGCCCTGGCTGGCTGGGGGACCATCTCAAGAAGCTCATCAGGGAATGAAGGAGCAGAACCAAACCTCTCCCCCTTCCACAGAGTTATTTCCCAGCCAAATTTCTTCCTTAATCCATTCCTCTACATTTCTCCTCTTGTCACCCCTGCCTGCATATCTTACATACTAAAGAGCAAAGTCACCAGCCGGATGGACAAGGGAAGTGAGAAACCGCTGTGCTTCAGTGATCTGAAGCAATGGTTGTTATTAGAGCCTCAGGCAGTGCTGGGTGGGGGGAGCTGGCAGAACAGGCGCTAACACCGTGTTTACAACCCGGTACGACACACAGACACACATGGCGTCCCTTGTTTTCCTTGAAATACAAGGCAGACAACTGTTTATTATGGATTGTTATGAGCCTTTAGTAATTTGATAAGCTGTTACTGATTTCCGGGTAGGAGGGATCACAGCTCCACCTTGCAACGGAAAATAACTCAAACCAGGTTTTATGGTGCAATAATCAACCATGGAGCAAACGCTGGAGAGCCCAGGACCCTGGCTGCTCTGATGCGGTTCTCATGTGGCTCCAGGAGAAATGCTGTGGAAGGCAGAGCGGTTTCCACACTGCTGCATCCTCATGGAGAGGTCCTGCAACTACTTGCTGGAAAAGGGCCCCATCTACCCAAAGAGGGAAAAAAACAAAAAACCCAAACCCCAAGGTTTCACCCTTGGCTCCAAGCCATCTAAAACCAGGGATTCCATGGAAAAACTCTTCAAGTCCAGGTCTGCATAGAGACCACAGAGCAAACACTGCTACAGGATTATCCTAAGAGGAGTGATTGCCCAGAGCAGGGTGAAAGGTACCCAAAACGGCAGCTCTTGGAGGTGGCTCACAGCCACTGCTGTTTGCACGCTACCAATGGCTTCATGATGCCCTAGAGTCAACTGCAAAAAGGCAGGCAGAGGCAGCTTACCACGTGGGGAGAAAAAGGCAGTTCTCATAAGAAAAGCAGGTTCAAAAAATAAGTGAAAACAAAAATTGAGAAACACTTGCTTGAAAATGTCATGAAAGACCTTAAAGTCCCAATCAAGGAGAGCTATAGTGTGCCAGTCTACCAGAGCAACCCTTATTTCTAACTCTCTAGTGAATGCACAACAACAAAAAATCATTCTGTACTCAGTCTAGAAAATCAAAATAAGGCATTTTAGTCCAAAATACATTCATTTGATTACTTTAAAACCATATTTCAAGAAAAAAACACATATATTTTTAGCATATAAAAGCAAGAGTTCCCATACTCATATGAATTAGCCTGTGGAAATCCAGTTTTGTTCTCTCAGTGTTCATCCAGCTGGCATCTAGTGAATGTGCAAGCACATTAGTATGAGAGGGGGAAGGAGTGAGAAGACTCCGTGACCCAGAGAATTCAGGGCTCTCAGAAAAACAACCAAACGGGAACCTATCCTTGGATTTAATTTACTGTGTATGTTGTGGTGTGTTGTGTTTTTTAATGTATATAAAACATGCTTGTGCAGAAATGTGCATACAAACAGCAGTTCTGCAGCACCACCAATTCTGTGTAGTCATGCATATTTATAGGCCTGTTTTTAGTACGTGGTAGCTCAGCAGTGACCAGACACAGCAAATGAGACTCAAAGCCACCCCACCCCAGGCGCGTGACACAAACATTGCTTCACCCATACTTTGCAGGCATAACTCTGGCGTTCACTTTTGAAGACAGAATGTATTGTTATTATTATTGGCCACCTTTGAGAGTCACAATCAGGCACGCCTTACTTTAATAAGTCAGGTGCTGGAAGTCATGGGAGCTGGAGATGCCTCAGGCTCTTAAGTACCAGCTCTTGGCACATGCGAGGAACTGGCCACGTGCAGAAGCACTCACCTTGCCTTGCCCTTTCATGAGGACAATGTTAGAAATAATGGACGGCTGGGTCAGTCTCCATGGAGATTCCACCTGGGCAGCACTGAAGGAGCGGGTAGACTTCTTCACAATGTGGTATTCCTGAGAAAAACGAGCAAATGCGGAAAGTTACTCTGATTACCTGCAACAGACACTGGGACATCACGCTGGGAAAATTGTGTGTGTCAGGGAGGAGGGAAGGAATCATACAGACAGGAGGAAAAAGAAATATATGATATATTCAAACAAGCATTTAGGGGATAAAATCCCTGCTCAGTACAGTCAAAGAGAATTTTGCCATAATTTTCCCACATTTCACACAGTAAGAGCATTTTGAAGAGTACTAGTTCTAATTTAAATTAAAAAGATTGAGGGTAGCCTCATGATATAGTGAAGTCCTTATCTACTAAAAATGCTGACATCATCATGTGATTAAAATAAAGAGAAGCAAGGCTTTTCTGTGCTCACATCTCTAGACCTACATCCCATAGATATCAGGCTTTGGGCCTGTCCATAGTAGAAGTACCGTCTTCACTATCCCCACAGCAAAGAGCTTCTCCATCTGTTCCCAACATAACCCATTTTGGTGTCAAAATTTGGTTTTGATCTCCACGATGTGCATGTGCAGCCACATTTCATTACAGCCACCTCTCAGACAGATCTTAAAGGACCAAGCACAAGCTCATGAAGGAACCAAGCTGTTCAGAGCTGGCTTCTTACCCACCTGCCTGGCTCCTGCTGATTCCAGCTGCTGGGGGAGAGAGTGCTTTCTCCCTCCCCGGGAATATTTCACTGCTATTTCATAATTCGGTTCACCGTTTTCCACTGTTAGCTCATCATCTTCTCCCACAGATTCTAACCGGCATCCAGCACCTAGGAGAAAACACAGCAATGTCACGTCTGACAGCTCTCTCAGGACTAGGCTAGCCTCACAGCAGCATGCAATAACCACCTGCAAATCCCAACTCACGCAGTACCATGTGCCATGCCACTGGGCAGCTACAAGCTAGATTTGATCATCTTCAAACAAAAACTTTTCCTGCTGCCCCAGGTTTTATAAGACCATTCAGTGAGGCTGAAATCTCCAGCACTGTCACTTGTGGTGGTAAAAAGACAATTGAGCCAGTAGCACTGGGACAGAAAGGAAATTCAGCTGTTCTCACCCAGTGGCACTTGCCACTGCACTAAGCTCTTAAATTTCATTTATTTAAAATTAAAAGGCATGACACTATAGCTGAATATGTTTCTAGAGGTATTGTGTCAATCTGAGGGAAATTTCTTCTGGAATGGAGAAAGGAAAAATGTGCCAAATCAATGTTATTTTCTTTCTTTCTGGCAACTATCTTAGTGTCTTGAAGAGGAGAAGAACATAAAAACAGAATTCACGTTAGAAACAGTTATTTGTCTTGAAGGACATCCTGTAATTAGTCCCCAAGTTTCCCGTTCCTCACGATGGGGCTCCTCCAATTCTCATTTCTTCGAGGTACCTACATGACCTCCGTTCACAGCAGTTCTCACACGTTTATCCCTGCAATTTCCCTGTCACACAGGGAAGGGCCGTCAACCCATACTTTACAGATGAAAACCTGAGATGCAGACAAAATTCACACAAGTTGTATTTAAAGATCACTTTAAACCAAGTTAAACTGCAGCTGCCACTGAAGGGGGCAGCTTTGCTTTCCCTTCCCTCTCCATTACCCTGTCCTTACACGGGACGGAATGGGCAATGCACAGGCCACGCACCCGCTGCAAAGTTACCCCACGAGCTCCAGACCTGCTTGAGGCCACCTGCTCCTCACCAGGAGGCTGCGTAACCACCAGTGCTGGCGCAAGGGAAACGCTGAGCGGACGCAGAGCTGGGGGCAGCGGCTTGTTTTCCCCAAGCACCAATGATTTTGCGACTGCTCCCATAGCTGGAATTTGTGCCCATCTCCAAGAGTGCAGCTCCCAATCCGCACCCTACTTTGGAGTCCAAAATTACCTCTGGTTTTAGAACTTTCATCTCCTAGGCCTGCAGGGAGCTGCGGTCAAACACACCCCGGTCAACTATTTTGGCAAGACCCAGCCTCCTGGCATGTCTTTTACTCCCAAACCTGCCAGGGACTCACATTAAGCCTTCCCCATCCATGTGCCTCCCGGAGCAGAGCTGGCTGCCCTGGAGGAGCACAGGGTTCAGATGGCAGCCTCTGCTGTCCTTGTTCGAAGATGTGATGAGTCAAGGCAGGCTGAGCCCCCAGCTGAGTGAAATGGAAAGCAAGGTGAATGCAGCAGGGAGGGAGTCTCTAAGACTCCTTAGAGATGAGAAAGGGATTGAGCTCTGCATGTGGTCTTAGTGTTGACAAGTCAGGCACAAGGCAACACAGTAGAAAAAGTGGGGAGTATCTGCCATAAATGGGTATTTTGGGGATGGCGTTTTGAAGACAGCACCCCTCCCCTTAAAAACAAAGAAAGAAAAAGAAGCTTCCAAAATCTTTCTGTCAATATAATAGTTCAGCTCAGGAAGCTGAATGCAAACATTCTACAGCTTGATTTTTTTTTTGCCAATTAAACTAGTATGATGTCCAAAGGAAAGAAAACCTACCTCACTTTCAGAGAGCTAAAGGAAATATACCACGTAAAAATTCTATTGCTCCTATCTTTTATCAATCCTGCTTTACCTTGGGATCGACTTCTGTATTTCAATATGCCACTTCCCAGAGTTGGATTCTGGTTGTTTCCTTTGGACACTTCTGCACAAGCTGGATCTTGAGACTTCTCTGTTTCCATGACCTAAAACAAAACAAAACAAAGACCGAACCTGATTTACTTGCAAATCAGAGAAGTTGATGGAATTATTTTTATTTTTAATAAAATAAGGGATAAAAAATTCCACTGCATATCACCATTTTCCAAAGCATGTCAATGCATTAAGCCAGCACGTATTTTAGTAAGTAACTTTCAGGGGTGCCTTTGAACGCTACTAAATATTTTTTCCTAAGTGCATTCCTAGACAGCGATCCTCTGCAGGCACCATATAATGCCCCCAAAGTGCCTCCAGTACCCAAACCAGCTCACTCAGGAGCTTCTCCATGCATTTCCACAAAATGTTAGTGTAGCTTTTACTGTCATTTGTTCAGCTCAACAAACTTCCAGAGACATCACAACAACATCTTTATAGATACGACCACTTAAAGAAAAGTGTTATGTTATTGCTAGCTTCCACAGCTGAATAGCAATGAATGTTGTGGATAAAAAGCTAATTCAGTAGAAGGTGTTGAGGGTTACACAGCGAAGCAGCCAAAAGTCTGGAAACGCTCATCTTAAATTTACACAGAGAACCTCAACCCGAGTTGCCCTGAGTAAACGGCACGGAGGCAGGAGGAACCTGCTCATCCCCTGCCTGCTGCCTTGCGCTGACAAGTACAAGGTGAGTGTCAAAGGCTACTGGCATTTGCCCAGGTGCAGGTGACAATATAAGGTGACAATCTACAGCCCTGCCACCTCCAGCAGCATGGTCACACGCATCCTTTCCACGCTGGTCTCTCTGCAGGGTGCTGAGCTGCTCAAGGTTTACTTCACAAAACACGCAAGGACTCTCCACAACATACAGGCTGTGTGGAAGAGCATGATTTCTTTCTCTTCTTTTATACCTCCATTATTAAGATGCAGTGGTACGAGACTCTTACACAAACCACCACATAGCGATCCTCGAGGTGCTCCTTCTTCATGCCCTCACACCATGCTTTCTCCCCAACATCTAACACATTCTCTTCACAATTTTAGAGAGCTTATGACAAGGACAGAGCATATTTCCAACACCAGCTACTTACTGGTCATAGTACACTTCTAGTCTTTCACACAAACTAGCTATAAGTCCGTTAAAAAAAAAAAAAGAAAAAGCAAAAGCCACCTAATGCACCTTGTATAGCTAAAAAATAAATTCTATTGCCAGTTTTCAAGATTGAAAACAGCAATGCTGCTTCTGAACAGTACCTGCCTCCCATCCCACAATCCCTCTTCTCCCCAAAACAAGAAAACCAAAACTAATCTTTTGCAGAGTCTAGATCTTATGATTTTGATTCAAAGGGTAAACAATTCAGAAAAAGATAACAATGGCGGATAACAGGGATCTAGAATAGAAACTGCTCTTCAGTTTTGGCTTTTTACTCCTCTCTCTTCAACATTAATTGCTGTGTATCATTTTTGAAGTCTCACACTCTAGCTATTATTTGTTGATTTTTCAAGGTGCAGCATTGACCTCCACAGCTAGTACCAACCACTCTGCAACACAGTTCCACATAACGTGATTCCTCTGAAGAGCAAAATAACCATTAGTCTAATAAAACCACTGCTTACCATTCGTCTATCCTCATGAGGGATTCTTTCCACACAAAAATCACATAGCCGGTGATTTTAGAGGAGTGAGAAGCGACCAGGCATCCAGAGGCAGCACTAATTCTGGGGGGATGGATATTTGAAGCACAGAGGAAGAAAGCCCATCAGGGCGGCCTACGTGTAGCAGTCAGCTTTGTCTCCGCTCTGCAGGCAGGACGTGTGTACCAGGCTGTACAGCAGCCCTTATTTAGCAAGTCAGCTGCCCCGCGGAGCCAAAGATCATGTCCAGGTAAAACCGATCCGCACATTTAATGGAAAAGCACACTTTGTTTATGTAGGTAATCCTATCACTTAATCTTTGCTCTTCCTTATGAGCTGACCCTCTTTCCAGTTACTCTCTTTAACTTCCACCACATTCCCTGATACCTCACGTCTCTCCTATCTTGCATCCACCTCAGCTGCTTCCTCCTCCCTGACCTTCTCCCCGAGCCAGAAAGCTGCAGCTGGAAGTGCCGAGCCCACTGCCCGCCCGCTCTCAGCAGGCCCCTTCCTTCAGACCTCTCGACAGCCACAGCGTGGCCATGGGGACAGAGCAGAGACCCTTCCCTCAGATCCTCCTGAGCAGGGACCAGGAGGCCCAGAGCATCTCCTGGGGTCCTCCCACACCTCTCCCGACAGACTGAGATGGACCCAGTCTCACCAATCCGCCACGGGAGCGCAGGCAGCGCAGACAACAGAGCTGCTTCGTTTCCACGCTGCACGTGGACAAGAAGCGCCCCACATGGCTCCCCACAGCTCAGAGCGGTGGGAAGAAACTCGGGCTGCTCAGCAGCAGTCTACGCACAGACATACACACACTCTAATCCACCCTCTTCCCACATTGAGCCAGGGCTCAAGAGCCAACCACTTGGTACATCCCAGGTTCCTACTACACGGGATTTTGTTTAGGCTTCGATAGTTCTTGCTTTTATTTAGTTATGTAGTTAGTTAAACTATGCAACAGAAGCAAGTAGAGATGTGTCTGCAATTACACAAATTTCAACACGGTCAGGCAGGAGGAAGAATAAGGGGGAACTGCCACCTCCATTAATAAAACGCAACCTGTTTCTTCACGTCACTGCTGTGCAAGCCTGGAGGCTGCCAGCCTCCAGCCTGGAAACACAGCCTAAAGCCATTCTTAGTGGCTTCCTGAAATTACATTTTATCCAGCTTGGCTTCAGACTCCAGTAAGAAGTAAAAACATCTAAATTACCTATGGCTCTGTTTATTCCTTATTTTAGCAAAAATACTTTCCTGACATGGATTTTAAACATTGAGGGGAAGACATTCTAGTCCCCATGAAGTAGATCTTATTTAAGTTGTTGAGCTTGTCTAATAAACCACCAAGGGTTTTATCCTTCTCCGAAAACGCTCAGAAACCCAATCCACAAAGCTTTCAAGAGCTCCCAGCAGTCGTGTGTGTGTAATCTTTGGCTCCAACACTGGCTGCGCTGTCGTAACTTAGACAAGAAGAAAACGCAGCTCCACCTTATCCTTCTGGCCACACGTGAAGGTATCACTTTACCGTCTCAAGGCAGCTGCCAGGACTGTAACCATGCCACTTTAATTTTCCTTGCTTTCAAGGAAACAGAGCTTATTATTTCAGTTTTGAATGCCTCTCGTTAAACCAAGCTAATAAATCCTGCTCAATCCTGCCATTTCATCGTTAAGGACAAGGCAAGTTTTAATGCACACAGTAGTTTTGAGGGCAGACTAAAAATAGAGACCATTCTGACAGTTCATTAAGTAACTCCAGGACCAAGTGATGCTGACATCTCTATTGATTTCAAAGGAAACGGTGCTATCAGGAGCACACAGCCCTGGCATGACACCAGGATGAACAACTGCCCCCAGAGCCCTTTCTTGGCTGGAAGGGGCTTCCTTAGGGTGACTGGGCCCCTAATGACGCAAGATGAGGAGCAGGATCATGGAGAGGCTGCTTTGTTTAACCACAAACAGCTTGGCAGTCCTCGCTGCTTTGCAAAAACAAGGCAGCACACACGGGATGATACAATTTAATAAGCAAACTGCTTTGCTGCTGCTCTTTCTGAGCTCCTAAGTCGCTGTCTTTCCCAGCAGCGAGCCCATCCGGCTCGCCGAGGTGGAGCCTGCTACATGTCTTTGGTGAGGAGCGCTGGCAAAAGATAGACAAGTTTAACTTGATATTTGGGAGGTGAAATTGGTAGGCAGCAAGTGATGAGAATGAGAATAGAGTTAGCCCAAGCCGTGTGAGCCTCGCCAGACTCACTCGTACTGGCATGAGCAAAGGCTCAGACTCACTACCAGTTCCCGCCCTCCTCCCAAAGCAACATGTTCAGAGAGGATTGGCCATGCCCCGGCACACAGCAACGGTATATGAGCTCAGGGGATGGATCTTGGTTTCCTTGGTCCTGCCACGACCATGAGGGCCTTTCCTTAGCCGTGTTCATATTCCATGACCAGAGCGTCGGCATGGCTACATCCACCGGGCAGGATACACCCAACGACCCCTCTCTACCCTGACACTGGCTTCATGACAGTTGGTATCAGCCCCTATAGAGGAGGTACAAGACGCCCTTACGCAAATCTGGATTAATCTGCTCCCCACAGAAAGTCTTTCTAGTTTCTTGAGACCAGCTGATGCCTTAAAGGTTTTCAATTTTCCCAAAGTTTGGGGGATTTCTTTGAAGATAGGTTACAATTTCAGTTATTCCAGTAATTCATGGAATTCATTTCAGTTGTTCCAGTAATTATTTACTGCTTTCAGAGACGCAGCATGCTTTAAGCCTTAAATGCAACTCGCGGACAGGGAACTCCACAGGCTCTCTTACCTTGCACGGAAAGCAAAATACCTCCACTTCTAAATTAGTTCTTTTCCTATTTAATTGAATCCGCCCCTCTCATCCTCCCCCCGACAAATTACAAAGCACAGTCATGTAATTTAGTGGCGTTAACACCGCAAAACAAAGCAGTTTTTTTAATCAGGAGAGGCGCTGAGCTTTCTGCAGTTTACTGCTCTGGTTTTACTGTGCATGCAAAGCCGCGGGGAGACGGGGATGAGCTTGAAGGCAGCTACGTGATGCACCCTGCTGAAACACAGCACCTCTCCATGCCCGGATCACAGCCCGAGGAGAGCATGTCCTTGGTCAAAGCCAAGGCTGAGCCAGCCCAGAGCCCATTAACCCCAGAGCAAGCTGCATGACTCCCTTCCTTGCAGGGCATCGCCACTCCATGCGGTCACGACACCAGCGCCGAGATCCAAAGGGAGCTGGAGAAAAGCAGGAAAAACTTGCTTGGTGCCTCAGCTAGAGGAACCTCCAGCTCAGGGATCTGGGGGGCCTCAGATGGAGCTGGACTTGCTGGGCTGCAGCCCTGGGAACACGGTGGCCCTGCCAGTGCTTCCTCCTGTCCCGGGAAGGGGATGTGAACCCAGGCCC